TACGATATGCGATTTGCATCGCGAAACGCAAAACCTCGCGTTTATTAATTTTTCGAACGTTTTCGACTGATTTACTAGTTGTTTTTCCGGAGCGTTAAGAAAACACGTCTGTACGCAGCCGAAGTTGATTGACTTTGATTAAAAAATCAGCTCAGGAATAAATAAAAATATAGATTGTGGATTTATCGATTAGATCAGGGGAAAACTTTAAGGCTGAAAGGTTTATTAAATAAATTCAAAAATCTTCACTATGAAAAAAAAGACAATCTAACATTAACAAATAAACGTACTAAAAATAACACCTACTATATCCCCAATTTATTCAAAACAGTACCCACTTGCTGGATTTCCCCAAATAGAAATGGACTTAGAATCATTATCTAAAACAGCATTTTCCACCAAAAGCGATCATTATGAATACCTTCGAATGCCATTTGTCCTTAAAAATGCCCCCGCTACTTTTCAAAGTTAAAGCCATAGTTTCATATCCAATTCCAACAAAAGTAAAAGAGATCAGAGCTTTCCTTGGATTAACCGGTTATTATGGTAGATTTATCCCAAACTACGCAGACATAGGAAACCCAATGAACACTTAATGAGCACGAATTAATTTACAGTGCTACAGAAAAGGAATTACTCGCCATAGTTTGGGCCACTAAAACTTTTCGACATTATTTACTAGGACGACATTTACTCATTGCTAGTGACCATCAACTTCTTAGATGGCTGTATACCTTAAAAGAATCGAATGTCAAGTTACAAAGAGCCAAATTAAACGAAAACCAATTTAAAATCGACTATATTAAAGGGAAGGAAAATTTAGTTGCCGATGCATTATAAAGAATTAAAATTGAAGAAAATCATCATGGTGAAGTTACTCAACATAGTGCAGAAGAAGACAAAAGCAACCTTAGTCATTTAACAGAAAAACCAATAAAACATTTAAAAAATAAAAATTTACATTAAATCCGATAAAATTAAAGTAGAGCATTCAACAATATTCGGCAACTCCATTACCACAATTCAATATAATGTAATAACACTTGAAAAGGCCAAACAAATTTTACTTTTTCTCATTTTATTCATAGAAACATTACCATTTATATTGAGAGCGATGTAGATTTTGAAATTATTCAAAAAGCATACAGAGAAATAATTAATACCAACTACAAAAAATGTTTCAAAAAAAAATCACTTCATTCTAAATAGCCAACTATTAATTCAGAATAAAATAATTGAATGCAACATAAGCAATAGACTTCTGCATGAATGTACTCATTTGTAGCATAACAGATCTGTACAGTAGTATAGTGTTCTTAAAAATACTGCACTCATTCTTTACTGTACTGTATACTCTATAGGCCAGAAGAAGATAGCACAACATTTTCAGTGTACTCACTTCGAGTGTGTACAGTATATGGTTGTAGTCTTCGTGCGTGAGTACAACATTTGTCCTTTTTTAAACACGCTGTACAGCTTGTGTGTTGACTGTGAACAATTGTGCAGATGAGTGCAGTCAAAAATTGCCACCACTGAAGACATGGTAAATAAAATAATGTTCCTTCATTCCAATATTAATAACTTAAATATAGATTCTTTAATAACATAAAATAATTGTTATAATTAGTTTTTATTAAAATATTAATAATTTCTAAATTCTTTATATTATTGTAGTGTTATTGAATTACTCGAGGTAATACGTTGGTTATATTTTAATTTCTTCTATAACACAACGATTTATTCCACTTAACTTTCTTTCTTTATTTTATTATAAATACATTTGATACAAAAATACAAATCAATTTTTTAATCGTATTCTTTCTATGACATACATACACACGAGATCTATATATGTGTGTATGTACCAGTCAAGAAATTTCACTCACTGTACAGTAAGTATACTGCACACCAAAACACTGTACAGTGCGTTGACTACTGCACACCAATTTTGCTGTACTCATCAACAGCTGTACAACTATGGAATGAGTGAGAACACTGTCAATCAAAACAGACAATACTACCCTACTCACTCACACCCAAATATACTGTGCAGAAAAAAAAGACTAAGTGATTCATTTGTCGTTTTGGATGCATTCTACAGAAGTCTAATAAGCAATTTAGCTAAAACAGAACACAGAAACACCAAAATGCCTTTTAAAATCACACCCAACCCTAAACATTGTCGAGTGTGGTAGATAATTATTTATCTGAGGGAAAACATTACATCAGTTGCATTGACATTTATTCTACATTCGCTACACTTGAGCAAATTAAAGCCCAAATGACTAAAGGCAGACAGAGACGGAGCTTTTTTCAGCTTGACTCTAAGGCGATGGCTTAAACCAGAAGGAATTTTATTGCCACTCCCGTATTGAGCAAAGGTCGACATAAGGTTGACATAAGACAATAAATGACAATAAAAATCCTTATAATCAATTCATCCGATGATAATGAAGTAAAATTAAGCAAGATAGGAACAATCCTCTCCACATACAACCATAAAATTAAACATGACACCACTGGACAAACACCTGCTCAAATATTCAAATAAGACAATAAATGAAAAATCTATATAATCAATTCATCCGATGATAAAGAAGTAAAATTAAGCAAGATAGGAACAATCCTCTCCACATACAACCATAAAATTAAACATGACACCACTGGACAAACACCTGCTCAAATATTTTTATACGCTGGGCATCCATTATTAGACACTCAAAATATTAAAGAAATGAAAATAGATAAAATAAATGAAGATCGACAGGAGTTAAACATTGACACTAGATACAGAAAAGGTCCAACTCAAAAGGGAAAATTAGAAAATCTATTTAATCATTACAAAATTAATAATCGAAATAGGGAAACCCAATACTACAAAACACAATTTAAGAAACACAAGATAACTAATGCCGTTAAACTTTCACAGGAACCTTTGGTACAATAATGTTCTTTCTATTATTCACCACTCAACAAATTCAAATAACCCACCCAAATTCCGACCTTGGCTATACTCGGACCAAAATTATAATACCCTCTGCTAGGGAAAAAAACCTCCTTTTGCATTAATCATAAATGTAATGAACAACTAATAATATCACACATCCCCATTAATTAAAAACTTATCAATACAATTCAATAATTTCCTTTCCTGACCACAATGGAAATCAGTTAGACTATTCAGACAAACAATCACATTTTGAAAGCGACTATAAAACTTTGGCTGTGTTTTAAGGGCAGGGAAGTGCCGTATTTACTCTCACACTTAACCCATTAGAATTTAAATAGAGCTAAGAGCTGTGGCATCCAAAGCTGCGCATAGCCTTCTGCGGTCCAGCAGTTTCAGCGACCTGAATATAAACAATAGTTGAAAGTCTCAATAAGTGAATCTTGGCGGTCCCGATCTCGCTTCAATCGCGTTTTAATTCAAAATTCGGCGTTGATCATAACCCAACGGGTGGAACATTTATTCGACTCAAAACCAAAAATCTTACTATATATGGTATATATCGTAGCAAATTTGATCAAGAAGAGAGTCATAACACTGTTTAAGCCATTAGCAATAAATATAGCACAAGACGGTCAACGAAAGCTCATTAACAGCGCGACTCCAAAGACCCCGAGGAGAGCGGCAAAGGGTGTAGAATTTGGGCGGATGAACAACGTTTGTTGTTGCGAAAACGGACTTGGAATTTGATGAAAATGTTCCCGCACTAACGTCGAAAATAGCTGCCATGATTCTTGAAAACTTATTAACCTGGTTTGGGTGATAAAGTAGGATGTTTACTACAATGAATAAGTCCAACGCTTAGTTTATTCGCAACAAATTCGCACAAGGCCTCTGGCGTGGTGTTTACTGCAAATTTGTATTTATTGTACAGAGTTAGACCGGTTAGCTTGACGTGAAGTCGATGGAGCTGGCGCAAATGGTTTAATCAATTTCTTACGTTGAGAAGCATTTATAAACTTTCAAAGTTGCTCCAGTAAGGGTATCATCTTTGCCCCGATCCGAACTGAAATGACAACATTAATGTCCACACTTCGATTATGTATTCACTTAATGGTCCCGCAGGTTAGGTATTTCACCGATTCCACGATTTTTATCAACTGTCGCATGCGAGTCGTAGCTAATCTAAGCTAATATAGTAGGCACGTTCCGACTTATACAATACCTGCTACAGAAAAGAGAAAGCTTAAATAATAATTCGATTTCGATCGTCGTGGTGAAAGTAAAACTGTAATTCTGAAATCTTTAAAAATTACTATATCTTGGGTATAAGTTAGGAAACAACGAAGTTATAATTTTATTTTAATTTTCCCGATTGTTACTATGGCAGCTAGAGGATATAGTCGTCCGACTGTAAAAAAAACGACAATATCTCGGTAAACATATATATGTGATTCCATTTATGATATAGTCGCCCAATCCAATGTAAAAAAGAATTTTTCAAAGTTTCATACAAATAGTTTTAAAACTAAGGGACTAGTTTGCGTAGAAACATAATTGGTAAAGTGCTGAAGATGACTTAGCATACTCATACCATTCTAGGAAATTTAAATATAACTGGAGCTTGTGGTCGACTGAGAATAATTGAGTGTCTGACAACCATCTTGGTTTGACATTCCAAAGAAATGTAAATATGAGCCTAATGCTTAGTGTTATATAAAAATTTCTTTATTGTTGGATCTTCAAAATTATTATTACTCCTTATTTGCAGCACCTTTGTAGAGCAGGTTTTTTTTCTGTGTCAACACGAACTTGTGAATGGGTCTCCGTCCTAGAGTCCATTGAATAGGTACAATAAAAAATGTACCCTCCTAGCCAACCTTAGAACTAAACTTGATACCATTTTCATTTACAACCTTATTCGTGTTGAGATTGAGATCCCCGACTTGATACAGAACTTTATATAAGTTTCCTTACTTTTCCTTATGATTATTGAAATAATAGTATTTTGATTTGACAATCCAATGTATCAAACTTAAAAATTCATTCTTACCTCTTGCGACATCAGGTGGTAATTCTATTGGTTGGTTTTCACGTATTATAAGTTCCGGTTTTCGAGGAGTAATTTCTTCATAGACTATCTTGGGTGCGAAAATTAATTTAAAGTGCATAGAACAGAATAGGTTTCCATCATGAACGTTATAACTATCAGGTCTGTAGGCGATAATACAAAATACACATAGAAGAAAATTCACGAATCAGATTTCAGAATATAAAATGTTTAAAACTAAATGGTGTAAATACAGTGTTTCACTGGTTAATTTAGATATTTGTTATTTTGTTAAATTTTATTAAACTAAAAATCGTTACGGTCCCTGCTGAAATCCGGCAGATCTCATTTTAATTTTAGACGCAAACTAGATTAATGTAAAATTTTGAAGCTTTCTGGATGAATCTTTCCGTTTTTAATGACCGTTACACTGGACCATAACCATTAATTTCTAACACACCAAAAATTGATCATTTTGTTAGCAACAAAAATCAGAATTTCATAAAATGTTAAAAAAACAAGAAAGGAAAGCTAACTTCGGGCGGAGCCGAAGTTGATTTACCCTTGCAGAATATTCTGTAAATTATATTCTCCAAATTCTTTCATATGATGCGTTCTTAATACTCATATATAAATCCCAATTAAATCCCAACTTCCTTACTTTACAAACACCAAAGTTATGGCATTTCCGATCAATCAGTTATATGGCGGCTGTAGGATATAGTCGGCCGATCTCGGCCGTTCCGACTTATATGCTACGTGCAACGGAACGAAGGGTGTGTGCAAAGTTTTAATTCGATATCTTTAAAACTGAGAGACTAGATCGTTTAGAAACAGACAGACGGACATGCTTATATCAACTCAGGACGCAATCCCGATCAAGAATATATATACTTTATAGGGTCGGAGATGTCTCCTTCACTGCGTTGCACACTTTTGACCAAAATTAGAATACCCTCTGCAAGGGTATACAAATTTAACGCACTTTAGTTGTTTTCCACAGTCTTTGCATCGTAAACATGTTTTATGGAAAATATTCGTTCCCGTCTTTAATTGAAGAATGACTTCCTCCATTATGTAAACAGGTTTTTTGCATTGACGGCAGTTGTCAAGCTGTTCAGCTACTGGAGTCTAAAAAAATAGTACGATAAAATGTAACTTGTTAAAATGAGACAATATGATAAAATTATGGTAAACTGTTATATAAAATGTAATGAGTTGATTTAAGAAAACTTAGCTTACTCGGAAAAGTTCTTGAGCTTTTTTAGAATCTCGGGAACGTACATGGATAAGATTACGTTTTTGAAGATCATCAAATTTGGTAAAACTTTTTTTCTAGAAATCATAAAAAAAAAATAAAAGTGTTACATATTGTTGATACATAAAGAAGTACAAATTTCACAAAGTACATATAAATTTGTCAATTGAAGCGATCCAATACGATAGGCCAATAGTATTAGGCCCCACTAAATTTAATAAGTAAGGTAAATTATTGGAAATTGTGTACGAAAGTTTAAAACCACAAACTAATACATTTAAAAGTTATTTTCGGGGGTGACACAAAAATCTCTTCGTTTGAAATACAATTTCTAAAAATTGTTAACCGGAGGGATTTCTATGTCTCCCCCGCTTGCCTTGTTTTTTTAGATGTCGTTAACTACCATTGATTATTAAGAAATCATTTTTTTCAGTATGTATTTAATCTTCTTAAATATATTGTTTAAGTTTTTCTTACCATATTTATGTTCTGGTTATCATATTCATTCGTTTTTGATTTTTTTGATTTGCCTTTTCTTGAAGATAAGCCATTTCCAGGGGAACTTTTTGTATTCTTTGCGTTCACAGATTCCATGTCTGTTCTGCCGTTATTGAGGTCAATTATAGACGTATTATTTAAATAACCAGTTGTTAATTTCGCTGAAATAAATTGTTGTATTTTTTAATTTCATACGATATTTTTATTTTCTTCCAATGTAAAAAGAATCCAAAAGCGATAATTTTATGACAAATTACTCGATTTTTTGATCGTTTCTTGATAATTCAAAATTTATATTTTTATATTGATTTACAAGTGCATATTGTGGTAACTTAGTGATAATTTGACATGAAAATTAGGTCATGACCCAGTAAAAGCAGTGAGCTTCTACACTGATGGTTTTAAATTTGAGGAATATATTCCAACCACCCAAATTAGAATATACCGCAGGCCTCCGGACATTTGCAGTGTTTTCTAGGAAATATGATAAAAGAAGCACTAAAATATCTGAACAATTAACTATTTGCCAGAACTAGCGTATTCCCAAGATATATATCGCTTTGTAAGTTGGCTCAACAAAGCAGTACCAGCCCAGAAATGTTCATCAGTAGGATTAAAAATACTATTATAAATGGAGAAAAGTTCAAAAACGTTGAAATTCTTTAAATTCAACTGCGAAAAGAACTCTCACAGAACATTGGCAGTAATAGTTGGAAGCCCTTGCAAAGAGTTGAACGATTTTCAGCATAATGAAAATCCCGAAGTGTTTTCTTGAAGTCAATTTGCAAAGATTTTTGCAAACAGACTTAGTTTTGAGAAAGAGACTTACTAGTTCTAATAGAGGTAACATAAATAGAGCAAAAAGAAACCTTCAAATATGTTTTAAGTGTAGTAATATATTGGCTAAAGAGTACCCCCAACAGTTTCACTACTGATTAAATTTGTCATTATGGGGTATGGCTGATTCGGCCAAAAAAGCCTATTCTCATGAATTTTGTCACACGATACGGTTAATGTCAGATCAAATATTTTATAAGCGTTTCAAAGTACAACATTTAAACAATGTTTTCACAAATTTTCTTCGAAAAAAAAAATAAATGAGCCGTTCGCAACCAAGCTCCGTAGGCGCCTCCAAGAAAAAAAGTTTTGCGGTGAACAGTATGACTCGTTACTAGATCATCAGAAAAAAAAATTGCTTATTAGTTAAGATGTTTCTAAAGGTAACTACGTTGAGGTTTCTTTTTTCAATCAATTTTTGGATTTTTGTTAACACTTTTAAGTCAAAAACGTGGTTTTAGGATAAATATTCAGTAAAAAAAAACAGACGACGTCAGTACCTGAGGATTTAGGTACAGAAATAGTGTGCAAAATGTCAAAACGATTCATCCAGTAGATTTTCCAGGATCGTGTTCATCGACTTTGAAATGGCAACTTTTCAGGAGAGCGTTTTAAAGTTTTAGACACCCAAAAAACGAATACAAAACAAGCTAACTCACCTACGTTCAACAGCCCATAACTTCGGAAGTTTTACTCGGATCAATCTAAAATTTTAACGCAATATTCTTCAAAGGTTGTGCATTCCCAAAAAAATAAAATAAGGAAAAATGTATATTCCATACCCCAATCCCCCTTAATTCACCACCAAAATAATTCTTAATTGTAAATGCGATTTCTGTGAACCGACATTTATTTTATGCTTTTTTTAATTTTAGATCTACGGTCATAAAAATACAATAACATTACATATATTTAAAATAAAACAATGTGCATATATGTGAATAATTGGAAGTGTATTAAGGATGCTCTCAACCTGATTTTTATATAATTAAGAAGCTTTTCTGTGAATATGTATGAGCATATGCATATATGTGAACAATTGGAAGTATATTAAGGATACTCTCTACCTGATTTTTACATAATTAAGAAGCTTTTCTGTGAATATGCATGAGCATCTGCATGCATTTTTTAGTGTATATATGGATACACACTCGACTAAATCGAAATTATCAACATATGATTGTGTCAATGGTTACAAGAATAAAAAATATATTTTTGTAACCAACCATCTGCCGATTAAAAATAACTATCTAGTGAAGGAATTTTACCTGGTTACCTTTTATTTTTTTTCACAACTTAACAAAACCTAAGCTGAATATATTTTGTTCCACTTTGGTTCATTAATATGAAACTGATATTTAATTTAATTTAGATTAAAATTAATAGTTGCTAATGCATAACTTTAAAGTTGTGTTTTATGATTAACCCAAAACTTCTTAATTAGTACACCATAAATTGTATATTAGTGAAAGATCGACGTTTAGAACTTGACGAGCGAACAATATAGACTGATTCTATGTACAAGCGAAGAGTTTTGTCAGATTTTGTACATGTTGATATAATTTTCAAAGTTGAGTTAATTTTAAATGAGTAAAAGCTTTTTCGAAAAGTATTGAAAGCTTTTTATGGAATTAAAATGCTTACATATATAGAAATGCGGCGTAAATCAAGAAAGCCATTTAAAAGAGCAACTGGGAAAACACAACACCTTTTGAAGTCTATGACTCCAAAATAGTTTAGTTCCCTAAAAAAATATGTATGCACTCTACTGAAAGTTTACGTAAAATTCAAAGGAGATTCCAGGTTATTAAAAAACATATTTATACCCTTGCAGAGGGTATTATAATTTTGGTCAAAAGTGTGCAACGCAGTGAAGGAGACATCTCCGACCCTATAAAGTATATATATTCTTGATCAGGATCACCTCCTGAGTTGATATAGCCATGTCCGTCTGTCCGTCTGTCTGTCCGTCTGTCCGTCTGTCTGTTTCTACGCAAACTAGTCTCTCAGTTTTAAAGCTATCGAATTGAAACTTTGCACACACCCTTCTTTCCTTTGCACGCAGTATATATGTCGGAACGGCCGGGATCGGCCGACTATATCCTATAGCTGCCATATAACTGATTGATCGGAAATGCCATAACATTGGTGTTTGTAAAGTTAGGAAGTTGGAATTTTCTATGGGTTTTATATTTGGCCAATCAATCCGACCTATCAAATTTCATAAGGATCGGCCGACTATATCCTATAGCTGCCATATAACTGATTGATCGAAAATGCCATAACTTTGGTTTTTGTTAAGTTAGGAAGTTGGGATTTTCTATGGGTTTTATTTTTAGCCAATCAATCCGACCTATCAAATTTCATAAGGATCGGCCGACTATATCCTATAGCTGCCATATAACTGAACGATTGGAAATGCCATAACTTTGGTGTTTTTAAAGTTAGGAAGTTGGGATTTTTTATGAGTATTAAGAATGCATCATATGAATAATTTTGGAGAATATAATTTACAGAGTATTCTGCAAGGGTATATCAACTTCGGCTCCGCCCGAAGTTAGCTTTCCTTTCTTGTTTTTATATACCCTTACAGAGGGTATTATAATTTCAGTCAAAAGTTTGCAACGCAGTGAAGGAGACATTTCCGACCCTATAAAGTATAATTATTATTGATCAGGATAGCGTCCTGAGTTGATATAAACATGTCCATCTGTCCGTCTGTCTGTTTCTACGCGAACTAGACTCTCAGTTTTAAAGATATCGAATTGAAACTTTGCACACATATCCTGTAACTGCCATACAACTGAACGATTGGTGTTTTTAAAGTTAGGGAGTTGGGATTTTTTATGTACTTTATATGGTCCGGAATGTCTCCTTCACTGCGTAGCACACTTGTATGCGCTCGTATTAAGTATAAACGGTGCCAAAAGTACGGAAAATGCGAATTTTCAAGTATGAAAAAATACTACTAGTACCATTACAAAAGCACCTAATATTAAAAATAAATAATAATTTCAGTCATATATTAAAAATGTATTATTAGTGTGTGTATGCGAATATGTTTAAAAGCAATAATTTTATGTCGATTTTTCAATAAAACTCGATATTTTTATTCCTATTGCAGCTTTCTGATATTGTCTTAGACATTTTTATGAAGTTCAAACCGAAATTCTGAAATTGTTTAAAGTTAATATACCCCGGAGTACACCACGTATGTTTAGAAACAACAATGCCTGCTATACTATAAATGTATTATTCCATGAAAAATTTGTTATGCATATCTGTTCAAAAACAATAAAATGATGTACATAGATTTTCAATGCACAACTTATTTAACATCTCCACATTTTTCTTACAGTCATACATTTATATAAAGAGATGTTTCCTTTTCTTTGTAATTAATGAGGTCATTGGTTTTGTGCGGGATTGCTGTTTTGTTGTTGGACACCTTCGCTTTTAAAATTATTCTTTTTATCTCCAGACGATTTTTCTTAAACAAATTATTTTGCAAAAAATTGCCACCTCATATTGAACCAGAAAGTTAATATATAAACAAATATTAAATATAATTAATATATTAAAACTAATTTAAATACTTAAGAATTAACTTAAAATAGTACTGGTACCCTAGTAACGCAACGTAGTTATTTAAAGAAAAATAAAAATCATCTCGACCTATAAAAACGTCTTAATGTTGCCCATTCGAGATAATCTCCTTCGAAAACTTCGGTATCGGAAGGCGGTGATCGGCAACCGAACAAAAGTGAAATTGGCGGGTTGTTGGAATTTACATATATTGGCCGCTTAAAGCTTTGCTCGCACAAATTGCTCACTAGTTGATGCATACACCCTATAGCAGTACTCTCCTTTTTACTTCTCGCTTGACTTGATACGAGATAGGAGACGCAAATCGTGGATGCTCTAGACTTACACGTGGAGCTGACAACAATTTTCTCTTATCCCCTGTGGGCATGCTATCTTAGAATAACCACCAGTTACGCGGCTCTGTGGAGAAAAATCGCCTGAAGTAGTTTGTTTTGGCGTATGATTTATTTTTTAAAGCCTTCTACTCGCCGAAATCTATTCGTCAGCTATTCGAGAGAGCGAGAGGCAAACCGCAGGCGAACCCTCTCCGTCAGGATCTTTTCACCCCCAGCGAAAAGATTAAACATTTTAATAATTTGGGTGTGTGTTGTCAGAGCAAAGTGTTTCTAAGGTCAAAAATGAACGGAAAAACACAAAAAAACTTTGCAAATAATTATCAGTAAATAAAAAAAAAATTTAATATAAATTGTATTGAAAAAAATCAAGGTATATATAATTAAGTCCGAACGGTCAGGCTGCTGTAGGAAATCAATACTTATTTATTTAAAGGCTGGACGCTGTAAAAGTAATAATAATAATAGTTGGAATAAACTTTGATGTTGGGTTCGGTTTGTTTTTTATTGTCTTATTTTATTTTGTTTGACCCAAAGATATTTATTTGTTTTGGTATTTTAAACAATTTTGTTGGGGCTATTGTGGAAAAAATAAGGTTAAGGAAAATTGGGATTCTTTGAAAATAACTTGATGCCCCAAGCTTAGGAATGAAAATAGGAATAATCGTATTGATCTCTGTTCAAAGTTAAAAATATTGTGATGAGGATCGGAGCTTGCCTTTGCCTCCATAGGAAGAAGTAGAAGGGTTTTTGATCCTCCTCTGCCAAACCGCCAGTCGTTCGAAGGAATATTGTCTTTCTTTACCACCATTATTTCTAAGCTCGACGACGAATATCCAACGGTAAACGCTGGAACTTTTGGCATCCGGCACGAAGCACAACCCAAACTTGAGGAGATTGAAAACAACACAAATCAGCAGTCTTTGATTTCGGGAAATAATATTTATTAGGTTTGTTCGTTCTCTTTACGGTATAGTACTAAGATCGACAAACGAGTTCGCTAAAGCCTAGTATCCAGATCCACAAACGATTACGCCAGCGTAAAAACTTTAATCTTTCGAGTGTGACCAAAATTTTGAGAGTTCATCAGATTTAAGCGTGCTACGGTCGTACTGTCAATCAGCTGGGTTTGTTGACAAGCAGTTAAAATTCAAATATCGTATTTGCGGGAAAGAGCCCTTAAAAGATATTATCAAATACCTTGGCAAGACAAGTCTGCCGCTGTACAAAGAAATCTAAAAACAATACAATTTAAATTTAACAGTTTTTATACCCTTGCAGAGGGTATTATAATTTTGGTCAAAAGTGTGCAACGCAGTGAAGGAGACATCTCCGACCATATAAAGTATATATATTCTTGATCAGGATCACCTCCTGAGTTGATATAGCCATGTCCGTCTGTCCGTCTGTCTGTCCGTCTGTCTGTTTCTACGCGAACTAGTCTCTCAGTTTTAAAGATATCGAATTGAAACTTTGCACACACCCTTCTTTCCTTTGCACGCAGTATACATGTCGGAACGGCCGGGATCGGCCGACTATATCCTATAGCTGCCATATAACTGATTGATCGGAAATGCCATAACTTTGGTGTTTGTAAAGTTAGAAAGTTGGGATTTCCTATGGGTCTTATATTTGGCCAATCAATCCGACATACCAAATTTCATAAGGACCGGACGACTATATCCTATAGCCGCCATATAACTGATTAATCGGAAATGCCATAACTTTGGTGTTTGTTAAGTTAGGAAGTTGGCATTTTTTATGGGTTTTATTTTTGGCCAATCAATCCGACCTACCAAATTTCATAAGGATCGGTTGACTATATCCTATAGCTGCCATATAACTGAACGATTGGAAATGCCATACCTTTGGTGTTTTTAAAGTTAGGAAGTTTTTTTAAGTATTAAGAATGCATCATATGAATAATTTTGGAAAATATAATTTACAGAGTATTCTGCAAGGGTATATCAACTTTGGCTCCGCCCGAAGTTAGCTTTCCTTTCTTGTTTTTTTTAATTTACTGATAATTACTTGCTAATTTAAAGTTCATAGCTGCACTTTTATTGTGTTTTTCGTACATTCTGGACCTAAAAAACATTTTTCTCTGACAAGAGGCACCCCAGATAGTATTAATGTTATTTTGTCCTCACATGTAAACACCTGGAATCGACTTTTGTGACTTTTTTGAGTTTTTCCCTCCATTTCTTATAATGTTCAGTGAGAAGCGCACGCCAAAAGATTAAATTTTTTAAGTACTCTAGTACTCAGATCGAAAAACGAATTCGCTAGCGTAAAAACACTTCTGATGAATTTGATGATTCCATTTATTCAGACATCATCTGTCCCGACTATGACCATTTTAACCCCCAAGTGGATTAATAAGAATGCTGCCGATGAAGAAAGCTTCTTTACTAAGAAAGGAAAAGACGAAATCTTGACATACGAGGTGTGTTCAAAAAGTAAGGTGACTTTTCAAATTTCGCGGGCAACATATTTTCGATTATCGATTTTTTTGTTTTGTTATATTGGTACACTCTTCCCTAACATCTGTACCAAGTTTCAATGGAACATCCTCTTTTG